TGTGTGTGTGTGTGTGTGTGTGTGTGTGTGTGTGTGTGTGTGTGTGTGTGTATGTGTGAATTTGAGCGTTTAGCCATGCATTAGAGTGTTGATTCTGTGACCATATTTGTTCTTTCAAAATGTGATAAAAGCAAGACTATACAACTAAGCATCATGTGAAATGATAAACAAATGTTACATTAGCAGAAGTAAAGAACAGTCAGCAAAGTAACTCAATAATCGACATTATGTATCAAAGTTTGCTAACATTAACTACCATTAGCTACTGGTCATAACAGACAAAGTCAGGCTTCAACAGTAAAACCACAGAGTGCATTGAAATGAACTAGGGTTTGTTTGATGATGAATATAATTTTTCATTTGTATAGGAAGAATGTGTTATTTTTCTTTCTAAAGTTACATTGTCGCACTTGAAATTGGTTAAGCACAAAGATGGAAAGCAAAGGGAAAAACTCAAGTGCTTTCTGACAACTGTCATATTCCTAAATTTCCCTAATGATTAAGAAGTTTCTGTCTGTCGCTCATATATTTTACAGAGCAACAGAAAACAAGGCAATGGTTCACTGAGTAGTTGACCCATGTGCTATTAACTGACAACAACAAGATCAGCAGTTGATTGTTCCAGTGACTCCTCACAGCATAGCTCTTGATTTAGTGGTGACTCACTCCTTCTGATAAGATAACATAAAGAAACAACAAAAACATCAAAATAACAACATTTTATATTTGTTCACTCTCACACAGTTTAGCTACACTGAACAAAAATATAAACGCAACACTTTTGTTTTTGCTCCCATTTTTCATGAGCTGAACTCAAAGATCTAAAACATTTTCTATATACACAAAAGACCATTTCTCACAAATAGTGTTCACAAATCTGTCTAAATCTGTGTTAGTGAGCACTTCTCCTTTGCCAAGATAATCCATCCCACCTCACAGGTGTGGCATATCAAGATGCTGATTAGACAGCATGAATATTGCACAGGTGTGCCTTAGGCTGGCCATAATAAAAGGCCACTCTGAAATGTGCAGTTGTGTTTTATTGGGGGGATCTGGGGGGGTCAGAAAACCAGTCAGTATCTGGTGTGACCACCATTTGCTTCACGCAGTGCAACACATCTCCTTCGCATAGAGTTGATCAGGTTGTTGATTGTGGCCTGTGGAATGTTGATCCACTCCTCTTCAATGGCTGTGCGAAGTTGCTGGATATTGGCAGGAACTGGAACACGCTGTTGTATACACCGATTCAGAGCATCCCAAACATGCTCAATGGGTGACGTGTCCGGTGAGTATGCTGGCCATGCAAGAACTGGGATGTTTTCAGCTTCCAGGAATTGTGTACAGATCCTTGCAACATGGGGCCGTGCATTATCATGCTGCAACATGAGGTGATGGTGGATGAATGGCACAACAATGGGCCTCAGGATCTCGTCACCGTATCTCTGTGCATTCAAAATGCCATCAGTAAAATGCACCTGTGTTCGTTGTCCATAACATACGCCTGCCCATGCCATAATCCCACCGCCACCATGGGCCACTTGATCCACAACGTTGACATCAGCAAACTGCTCACCCACACAACGCCACACACACTGTCTGCCATCTGCCCTGAACAGTGAAAACCGGGATTCATCCATAAAGAGAACACCTCTCCAATGTGACAGACGCCATCGAATGTGAGCATTTGCCCACTCAATTTGGTTATGACGACGAACTGCAGTCAGGTCGAGACCCCGATGAGGACGACGAGCATGCAGATGAGCTTCCCTGAGACGGTTTCTGACAGTTTGTGCAGAAATTATTTGGTTATGCAAACCAATTGTTGCAGAAGCTGTCCGGGTGGCTGGTCTCAGACAATCTTGGAGGTGAACACACTGGATGTGGAGGTCCTGGGCTGGTGTGGTTACATGTGGTATGCGGTTGTGAGGCCGGTTGGATGTACTGACAAATTGTCTGAAACGCCTTTGCAAACGGCTTATGGTAGAGAAATGAACATTCAATTCACGGGCAACAGCTTTGGTGGACATTCCTGCAGTCAGCATGCCAATTGCACGCTCCCTCAAAAAATCTGTGGCATTGTGCTGTGTGATAAAACTGAACATTTTAGAGTGGCCTTTTATTGTGGCCAGCCTAAGGCACACCTGTGCAATAATCATGCTGTCTAATCAGCATCTTGATATGCCACACCTGTGAGGTGGGATGGATTATCTCAGCAAAGGAGAAGTGCTCACTAACACAGATTTAAGCACTATTCGGACTGGATTACTTTTACATGGGCACGTGGGGTAATGTCACTTTACCACAGGACGTCAGTAATATCAATGGCCGATTAGCACGGGATAAGAAATATCAGTAAAACTACTACAAGTTGGAGGGGTAAATCCATTCACACACCGCCGTCCCCTCCTGCCGTCATGTGCGTATGATAGGACTGTGAAAAGCACCATGAAATTGAGTTCGAATATTTTCGAATTAATTTAGTAGAGTTTGAATAATATTAGAATTTATTATCATTATTATTATTATTTGTTTGTTTTTTACAAAAAAACCCACATAAAATAAGATGCTTATTGCTGACGTAATATGAACGGGACACTCGGATGAAAACACCCGTCCTAAGCCAGGTATGATCAACTTCTGCCTTGCTATCTGAGCAACATTTGGATACTTAAGTGCGTAGTTTTCCACCACAAGAGTGGATCCTGGTCGGCTCGTAGTGGTGTCTCATTCTGGTAACATTTCATCTCTTCTTCAAAAAGGGTAGGCAGGGAGGCAGCAGGTGCAACACTCCCTGTATGTCTCCCCGAACAGGTCACACATCGCGGACAGCGCAGTGGATGGTGTTGGCACAGCGGGCTCCTCCGTCGGTGCCTCTCCCTCCGTCGCTGCGTCCCTCTCTGGCCCGGCTTGTGCGCGAGCCATCTCTGCCCAAACGGGATTCGCCGTGATATACAACATTATTGATAGTATTAATTAATTATTAATGATATTCGAATTATCAAATTTAGGTCCGAACTTATAAAAAAAATATATATATTCGAATATATTTCTAACTTCGATTTTTTTTTGACAGCCCTAACACACATATTTACAGCTGGTCTATTCGCAAAGGATTAGTATTACCTGAGGTAATTATACGGGACCCTTTTACAGAAGGTAAAGGTCGCGGTAATCTTTACTGACATCGTGCGGTAATGATTACTGACATGGCACATTTGGACGGGACTAAAATCTCTGGTAATTATTACTTTACCCCACGTACCTATGTAAAACTAATCCCGTCCAAATAGGGCTTTAGACAGATTTGTGAACAGTATTTGAGGGAAATGGTCTTTTGTGTATATAGAAAATGTTTTAGATCTTTGAGTTCAGTTCATGAAAAATGGGAGCAAAAACAAAAGTGTTGCGTTTATATTTTTGTTCAGTGTATTTTCCAAACTATTGGTGCCTGTTCTATACTTGGCTATATCCCGATTCAGTCTCTGAATTCACAGAGATAGATTGAAAACTGACTCAGTGAGCATTGTTTGAACATGCCTAAATGCCTCTGTCTATGAATGCATGCGTTTATTTTTATGTGTATTTGTTAAGGAGCGGGTGCAGGCCATGGAGCTGTGGCAGACAGCAGCCCAGGAGCTGGACCATCTTCAGCAGAGCTACCACAAAAACATCTCTGATGTGCAGGTCCACAATGCTCAGAGACAGCAACTTCAGGTTTAGTATTTTGACCGTAACATGCAGAGCAACACATTATTAGCACATCAGCCTTTTACCACTAGATGGTGCCATTATCATAGAAATTAGGTTAGTTAGAGCAGTTTAGCCTTGAATAAAGCTTGATACAAGCATGACGTAATTACAAGCAGGTCACTCTTATATAGCACCTCTTTTTTCCCCATCACAGAATCAGCTCATTCAGTTCCAGCAGCACATACACAAACTTCAAGTGGCCAATCAGAAACTGGAATTGGTAAGCGATGGTTAATTTAAAGCATGTTATATTATTGCTTCCTAATTAGCTATGGGATAAAAATGCTGTGCACTTATGTGAAATTAACCCTGTTCTAATAATTAATCCTGTAAGTAAGTGAATCAGTTTCTAAATCACTTTGGTAGTTAGCCAGAACAGACATAGTTGTATAGTTGACTGTCAGCTTGCTTGGATTTCCTCTAACAATCGGCACATACTGCAATGCACTTGTCTCACTTTCTTTTGCTGTCTCTCCCTCATTCACACCTGCAGTCACACATTACACTCACATTACAGTCAGTGTCAAATTGTTCAGGCTCCATTAAGACACTTGTCTGACAGGCTCAGCGTTCTGTGGAGATAAGGGTGTACAGCATATTGCGCATACTTTTTTACACACACACACACACACACACACACACACACACACACACACACACACACTCACTCACTCACTCACTCACTCACACAATACTGTGTGTTAGAAGAGGGTAATACTATATCCCTCTGATGCATTTTTTATGAGAGGACAAACCTTGGGCTTTTCCTCGGCTGACTTCTCACACAAGCCGACTTTTTCAGTCACTGTGGGTGAGGGCAATTGACTTTGTAGACCTGAATGACCAACAGAGTCTCCTTAGGTTTTATTCTAACAGAGCATAGAAAGTCAGGGCTAAAGTTTGAGACGTGTGTTTGGAGTCATGCCACACAAATGGCAGTCTTGTCTCTCTTGCCACATCCAGACTAACCAGCAGTTCCTGAAGACGGTGACGGAGCAGAGTACAGAGATGGAGGAGCTACAAAACCAGCACAGGTATATCAGTGAATGTGCTGTTTATAGGTTACTTTTATAACCTCAGTTGCCCAAAATCAAAGCCATAAGCAGCAGCAAGTGGGTTTCCTAAAAAAGCCCACCCTGGGGAGTCACTTTTTAAACATGACAGGCTTTGTCATAGTGTGCAGTGTTGTGCAGACTGTAATGTGGCACTGACTATGTTTGTAGACTCGTGGAAAAAGAACAAGAAACATTGATAAATATGTTTGGGTATTTTCAAGGCAAGCCAAGGGTAACCAGTTGTCTCAGGTCAGCCCAAATTAAAATGTTGCCTGGATGCTGACGTAATTTACTAATACCTGAGGAAAGCCGTGCGCTCTGTGAGTCTCAGTGGCTCACACAGGTAGACATGCGGTTTGTGTTATATTGTCTTTTGTTGACGTGAAATCAAGTCCAGGGGCCTGTATCACGAAGCAGGATTAATGTCTTAGCGGGGTAACTTCAGGGTTAACCCTGGGTTTTCGGTCTCACGAAGCCGGTTCAGTTCTTATCGGGGTAGATCACCATGGTAACTTACTCTGAACGGCTATCCTGCTCCGGAGCAGGGTAAGTTCAGGGTTGAATCTGATCCTATAAAAAGCACCACCCACTGGCCAATCAGCTGTTCGGAAAAAAATGACTCCACTGACAGAAATGCAGTCCAGTCATGACGGGAAGTTTAATTAATTTGATTGATTTTGATTTGAAAGTTTATTTTGAACATTAAAAAAGAAAAGAAAGCAACAACAACAGACAATAAAAAGATTGTTCAAAAAGGAGTGGAAAGAAGTCGAAATTTCATCCCACCCCTTCATAAGAAAGAAACTGATCATTTGCGGACACTTAATAGCACCATTAATTAGTGCCAACATTTTGTTTTGTTGGAGGAAATGATCCCTGTTAAAGATAATGGGCCTAATTGACAGCTTTGCTGCTGGAGATGTGGAAAGTAGCCTATCATGTCTACACTTCATGGTGTTTGAGGGATTTTCCTTTTTGTTTTTTAAAGAGGGAGACTAGGTATATTTTTGCGCAGCTGTTAATTTCTAACACAGCTCAATATCAGGATGATTTTATTCAGACAGTCAATTTGGTGTTGATATGATTTAATTGTGATGTCAGCTTTAAGCTTTATTGTAGCATATATAACGTTATGACAAAGAAGACCAATTTATCAGACGCAATGATGTTATACGATAATTGTAATACACACAATTCATCTGCGCAGCATTGATTTCATGGGATTCAAGGGTGTGATCAGTGTCAGATGTACAGGTACAGGTACTGTCGCTACTTGAACCAGTGATGAGTAATTTAACCTACACATAATTTTATTTGCTACCTTGTTTTGTCTTGATTTTTCCCTCTCTCTCCTCTATTTCTTCTTTCCTGACCCGTTTTTATTTTTTCTTCTCTATTATGTGATTTCATTGATGTTTTGACAGGGGAATTTCTTTGATAAGCTTTTAGTGGCTTCTAACCTCTCAGGCACTTTTCTTTTTTTAATCTTGTAAATTTTATACTGTCTGTTTTTAACATTATGTGCAAATAAACTAATCTAAACTAAAACTAAACATTATTCATGCTGTTATGCGTTGCCACGCATGTCACCTCCTCCTGCAGCTGCCACGGTGTTGGCCTTTTCTGTAATGTTGCTTTTCTCCTCCTCATATTTTAGTAGAATTAATCTCTGGTCCTCACTAGAAATACTTTTTTTCCCTCACATACGGCGATCTGTGAGGACGCTCAGTGACGCTCAGTGACGCTGCGCTTCTGCGTGCACGTTCACGGCTCTTGATAAAGCAACCCTGGGTTGAGTTACCGAGTTGATATCCAGCGTCGTGATACCGATTATCCTGATTGCCATTGTTAGGGTTAGTCAACCCAGGATAGGTCTGGGTAACCCAGGAAAGGTTGATCTTGCTTTGTGATACAGGCCCCAGCTTGACGCAAATTTGTGTGTATCATATTTTCTTTCCTTTCTTTTTTTAATGTCGCTGGTACATAGTGCTCACTTACAGAAGCATATTCGCTGTGGTAGATGTGGGCTGCGACTTTAAAATCACCAGTAACATGTTGTGTATGTTTGTGAATTTGTGACAAATCTGCTGACAGAGGAGAAGCACATCTGCAGCTGTTCGGTAAGGAAACCAGTTAAACTGGAAACCAGTAGGGTCATAACACTGGCGTGCGGCAGTGACCAACACAGACTCTGAAGAAGAGCATGAGCTCGACCAAGAACAGGCTGAGTTGGTGGCGAAAAAAACATCTGTTACATGGCGATACTTTGGATTCAGGTATGGCGACGTTGAACAGAAAGATGTGCTATGTAAGTGTAAACGTTAAAGTCGCCACGTCCCGTGGCAACACGACCAATCTATATCAACACTTGAGTCGTGACTTTAGCTTTTAAACTTTTACACAGCACGTCTTTCTGTACAACGTCGCTGTACCTGAAAGACGTGCTGTGTAAAAGTTTAAAAGTTAAAGTCGCCACGTCCGGCGGCAACACGACCAATCTATAACAACACTTGAGACAGCACAGCACAGCACAGGGAAAAGTAGGAAGAGTGCATGCGAGAGAAAGCCGAGCCCTGTAACGTTAAAGACAAAGAGCCGCCAGAGCCTCATAAAACAACATCCAAGCACAGTTAGGCAAACATTTGTAAGTGTCACAGGGAAATCATGGACTCTATAGCAAATGAAAAATTGAGCAATTTTGCTCGGGTTCGGCCCACTTGACATGCTGCTGTGTTGTGCTATGGCATGCTGGAATTTGTCATTTACGTGACAACGCCTGAACGCAACACAGGCTCGCTCCGCTGTGTGTAGAGTTGTGTTGAGCTGTGTGAGCAGCGTGTTTGACTGTGCTCAGTTTGTTGATGGTCATTGACACACTGTCTGTCCATAACAATAACTATGTCAGGTCAGTGCCCCCCTAATATAATGTAGGGGAAACGCTGAATCAAGCAAAAAGACTCATGATACCATTTATTTATTATATTTTATTTATTAAATTTAACTTATTTATTATTTATTATTTTAAATATATTGTAATCGCAAACGCAAATCACGATATTGTCCACCATAATCGCAACTGCACATTTTTATCAAATTGTGCAGCACTACACAGGAGCCAGGAGGAGAGGCTAATGAGTCTGCTAAAACCGTCTGCTCCACGACCAAGACTGGGGATAAGGCCTGATATAAAAACAGTGATAAAATTTTTATCACATCAAAAAGGAGGTTAGAAATTTTTGGTGCACCTTGTCTCCTGGAGCATATTGTCATTTGTGTAGTATAGACGAAGAACCATTTAAGTCCATATTTTCAAAATTTGATTAATACATTTCTTTTAGTTTTGTTGGACTGAATACCACAATCTTGTAGTTGTTAATCTGTAAAATGCATAATGCACTTCCCCTCCTTCTAATTAGTTTTTAGAAACAGGAGGAGATCCTATTTATGGAATGTGAAAAAACAGTATATCTCCAATGACCATTGCAGTTTGTGGAACAACAGTATAACTCAAGTGCAGTAAATAAGCAAACAAATGAAGCAGATAGCATTAAATATTTAAATTATTTATTGCACAACAGCACATCTTAGTATCTCCTGCCCCCCACACCCTCCGCACACAAGTGCACATGTACACACACACACACACACACACACACACAAAAAGCAGTTTTAAGTTTTCAAGACCAACTAAACCCATGGTGCTGCTAGTGGTTGATATGTTTGTCCTGCTGCACTTAGGAAGTATTATCAAAGCCTGTTTATAAAAAAAGAGGCTCTCTGACATCATAGATTGGGGTGGGGCAGAATGGGCAGCAGGGTGTGCTGTGGGGGTATTCAGTCCAACAAAACTAAAAAAATGTATTCAAATTTTGAAAATATGGACTTAAATGGTTTTTGACTAACACTGATGGAAGACTCAACATGACTTTGACTTGGTATTCATGACTTGAGACTTGACTTTGACTTGAGACAGGTGACTTGAAAGGACTTATCTTTTTTATTTAATATTTGCATTTTTCTAGATATTGAGAAGTTACATTTTGTTTGTCACAAGTTCACTATCTGTATGTATGTGCGCTTGCTTTGTATCCGCGCGCTATGAGATAAAGCTCGTTCGAGATGAGCCAGGCCTGCGCAGATTCGATCACCAGCATCACCACACAATGCATGCCAGTTAGTATTGTGTCCAACTTCATCCCGACTTGCTCTGATGTCATACAAAAGTGGACACCGATAATCAAGCGAGAGAGAGGGAGGCGGACAGAGTTTTTAGAGTCAGGCTATGCTCTCCATCGGATGTTCCACCGAAGACCCGGAGACCTCTTACCTGATCTAACAGCTGATTGGTTTAGTTGTTGACTCAACAATATGACGTTTTAGATACACTTTTTCATTTTTGTTGAATTTCAGAGATTTAGAATTTTTGTCTAATTTGAAGGTTTATTCTGTTCTGAACAGGATACATGTTGTGTTGCTCATGGTGACATTTATTCGTCAGAGCCTAAATACATTCATTACAAACTGTACGTAGTCTACTGTATATTAACATTTGACTTTTAATTATTGAAGTATTTAGCATCACAGAGACTTGTGGTCTGTGGGATGTGAGGATTATTTCCTCTGAAAATATTAACATTATAGTCAGACACAAACTTATTTAGCCTATGTAGTTGAGGGGACAGATCTGCCCAATTGCTCTGCAGCAGCAAACTTATACAACGCTGATTTACATGAGAATTCATGTAAAAGGAAAGTTGAACCATGAACATAAATTACACATTGTCTGTAAAGCATTTTAATAAACCAATCTATCATAATTGAAACAATTGGAGACTGAGAACAAAGTGATATGAGTCTGATAATATTTTAATAAATCAACATCATATCAGACAGGATGTGAGTGTTGCTGTGACTTCCTGTATGGACAGAATCAGAATCAGAGGATCAGAATTAGCTTTATTTAGCAAGTATGTGTGCAC